GGTTCTACGTGACTTTACCGAAAGAACCAAGAATATGAACGCAGAACATATTAATTGAGAAATTAAGCTCTGTTTATGATTATTCGTAAAGTCCATCTTGTTCAGCCTATGCATGTACTTTCATTGAATGCTTGTCTCTTGCACAACATCTCCAAGGGAGTCACGGTAGTGTTTAGTCATAAGTCACATGAAGTGATACAATGCCCTGTCAGCACGCGGTGGCCACGAGAATATATCGACAACCTGTGCTTGTCTGAAACCCTCTCTCGTTAATGAGATTTCTGTGGCGACAAGCCAGGGATGGGCAGGAAGCGCCAGTCAAAATCTGCGTCTAAATACACACATTTTACTGTCGTCTTGTACGAGGCACCCCATGGGTGTAACGCGATTCCCTGCATTCCAGCAATTATCCAAACTCCCCGTTTGTCCGCTAGCTTGCTCGCCAGAGAGGGTGCCCCAAGTGAGTGACCCCGCATGTGCACGGTGCAGCGAGTGCAGTTTGTGTTATGGCTAAATCCTGCCTCACGCATATTTCAATCAGGAGTACATATACACCTCCCGGCTTGGCACATTAAATAATGCGCTTCTCAAATCCCCCACGCCTCTGTCCACCCACCAGTACGAATGGGCACGCCACTGATAGTCCGTCGGCAAGTCTCGTGTGGTGGGGAAAAGTGTGGGTCCTGCCACCTCTTACAACGTTGCTGGCCGGTATGAAGAAGAGTGAGCCAAAGTATACTCTTATATGGGATCTCTAGAGCTCTTTTGAGTCGAGGCCCTTCTGCCGGCAGTGGCTTGAGCAAGCAATGTCAGGGCTGCACCTTTGCCTTTTTACAGCCCTTTTGACAATCCACTGCTGGATAGGGGAATTCCCAAACCACACGGAGGCCTTAGGGCAGTCATTTGATCATATTTCACCATGCCGGTCGGTGCAGGCTGGTGAAGGCGGGGAGCATGGATGTAGGTGCATAGAAGTACAGCACGACATCGGATTTCGTCACTGTCCTCTGCTTCCCACAACGCACGGAGCCCCCGCAACCTATGAGACCTGTTTTGCATGTGGTCGCCAATCCAAACGGCATGCAGATTCAAACCTGCCGAGCTGCCAAAATGTGACTAGATCTCCCGTTGAGAAAATGTCACACAGGAGGTGCCTGACTTTCCTCAATAGAAAGTGCTCTGAAGTAAAGTGTCTATTTTAAATTCAGACCAAAACTCATTAAAGTAGATATTCCATCTCAAGGGAGTTGTAGCTTGGTTCTAGCATTACTTGTTTTTGCCACAGTAAATGTGGTAAATAAAAGAGTGCAGAAAGTGTTATGTAAAGTGTTGTTTGTGCACATTGCTGACTATTTATCTGGATGCTTTCCATATCGTCTGGAGAGACATTTATTTGTATTAAAAAACTTTGGAAATTCAAATTACGACACCGATCATTCCTTCATTTGTTCAAATTCAGATAGTCGTTAGTCAATCCACTGCTGGATGAAGGCTGTGTGGGTCACTTGTTTTTTTTACCATACTTCACCACGCTGGTTAGTCCAGGTTGGTGAAGGGGGGACCAGGATTGGTTCAGACATCAATCATCGCTGATGCCAGCCATGGCGTGAACCAAACTCATAGCATAGTGCACTAACCACTACATCACCGCTACCGCATTGTACTCTTAATAACTATTATTAAAATAATCAATTCTGACAGCTCCACTCTTTGACAGCCCAAACTGGACGCTGGTTAATCAAGTGCCCATCTAGAGCCGCATCATTACAGGACATGTACTTCACAGTAAATGCAAAAAGTTCCGCAGTGCGATGTTGTAATAGTAAGTTGTCAAATCGGACTTGCAATCCGGTGCGGCAGTTGAAACAAGGGTGCAGGTTTCTCAAGTCCACCCATCGCTGTCCTTCAAGCAGTACAAATGGGTTCACAACAGACAGCCGATCGGCATGTCGCGTGCGGTGGGAAAAAGTGTGGATTACTGCCACCTCTTCCAAGATGTCTGGCCATCATGGAAGAGTAGGCCAAATACCCTCTCTTGAGCTCCCACTCGTAGAACCCATTCCACCAGGAGTGGTGTGAGCAAGCAATTGCAGGGCTGCACCTTTACCTGTTATGACAGTATATATATTTTTTTCTATTGTAGCACAATAGCTTTCTGCTGTAGTCAAGCAGCATACATCGCGGAAAGCTCTTCCTTCCGTTATTTGGAATCCACTGGTGCTATGCACTTTAAAATCTAAACTGAAAACTTATTTTTTCGGAACTGCTTTTTGTGTTTAGTTTCTTGTCCTTCCCCCGGCACCTCCGTTTAGCACGGTCGGCTACGTACGGTGCGAAAGAAGTTCAACATACGCACGTACGGCGAGCACGATGTGTGTCAATGTCATCTACACGGGTATGAACGAGATGTCCGTTCATTCTCGTCCCCTTACAAGCTGGTTATAGGTTTGTAACAGGGTGGCCAGCAGTCCATGTTTTGACTACAGCTGGCCTGTGGCCCTGCATACCTCTTGTGCCGCGCTGTAGCAGGAATGCTCCAAGGCTTGTGGGCTAGCGAGGTGAGCCAACTCCCATGGCCCGGCGTTGTGAGATTCCTATTTTTGAAAATTCACCCCTTGGGTCCCTCGTGCGTGGCGGGCGGCGCTAAACAAAGTACAAGCTGTACGCGTTCGCAGGCGATCGTTTTTTTTTCTTTTAAAACCCTCCGGCCAACTTCACAATAACGGACGAGCCCTCATGCTAATTTTGTGTTTAGAACGTAAAAGCCACCACAGCTTTGCTTGTGCAACCGAATCCGTAAGGTTACAAAGATATTTTCTTGCCCGGCGAAGCATTCTGCGGGTTTATAAAGCCTTCGCCAGAGCCGTGACCGCCGCGCTGTAATTACATATTCACCAAATGTTTTTTGCACTTGGGACCTGCGACACGTGTTTGTGATTCACGCGAAGAGCCTCAAACGGGCTCGTAGTTTTGTTTCCACCGTTTCTCGGCACACCGTAACTCACCTAGAAGAAAAAGCCAATCGGCGTATCAATGCTTGCATGCCGTATTGAAAATAACAAAGGGGTGGTGAAAAAGTTTGTAAGTGTTTAGAGTGCGTTGAAATTGCTCACACTCGTTCTAGTGCAGTATTGTCAGCAGTATAAATGGGTACCCAGCAGTCAGTCGATTTCGAGGTCTTGCGTGTGGTGGGGTGAAATGTGGGTACTCCCATCGCCACCAAAGACATCTGACCGGCATGAAAGAGTAGGCCATGATGCCCTCTATATGAGCTCTCTCGTCCTCCATTTAGAGGAGGCCCTTCTACCAGCAGTGGCATAAGCAGGCAACTGCAGGGGCCACGCCTTTACATTTTATTTACAGTTTTTAGCTTTAAAGTCTAAATCATTATTATTCAACCACAGTGTATGGTTAATAGGAGTCAAGAACAAAAGTGTATCCTAATTTTAAGTACACGTGGCTTTTGTATCCCCCTTGTTTTGAATACTTTTCAATCAACCCCCATATAAAATAAGGCTCCGGGCACATTCAGCCTATAGAAACTAAATCCAGACAGTTGTGGTGTCTAAGTAGTTGGATATGACTGCCACAGGGATATTTCATTATCGTATGCTTCGTGACTTTGACCACTGTCATGGGGTGAAGACAGCTGCTTAAACCATCGTGGAAGGATTTTTTTTTACTTTGTACTTCCAAGGTGCCTTCTGACACTATTTTTACAGTCCTGTGCACAGTCTGCTTCATCTGGAAGTAATGCATGGACCATACCATGATTTACAGCCAATGATAACATTCCCAACTCACAGCACAAATAAAGCATTGCTTTTTACAAAAATTACCAAACTGGCTGAAGCGGGAGAGAGAAAAAAAGTCCAGTTACTACGAATTTTAAGCTGCGCGCGGCTATTGGAAAACAGAAAGGTCCATTTTTCTCTTTTTTTTGTTAATAATCGTTTGAGACAGCCGGCGAGCGAACGTAAAAGTCACACTCGGACTAAAATTCACAATAGGGAATATTGTGCCTCTGGCTGGCTGCGTTAGTGGCCATTACTTGCATTCGCGGTGACTCAAGCAAGCTGCCTGCGAGTAAACAACAGACGTTCAGTGTTGTACTAATAGAGCCCATTTCCAGCTGTGCCCGGCTTATGTGAGGAATGCACGTACGCATGGTTGAACTTCTCTCGCGCCGTACGCGGCTAAGCGCGCTAATGGGAGTTGCCGGGGAAGGACAACAAACTAAACAGAAAAAGCAGTTCTAAAGAAATTAGCTTTTCAGTCGACATGATTTAGAAGTGGGCAACTCCAGTGGCTTCTAAATATCGCAAGGAAGGAATGCTTGAACCTCGCCGCCGCCGTTGCCGCTGGTACATTAGTCGTGTTAACGCGACGCGCTGTGGTGAGGAAGGCTGGCCTGCAGCCTACTAATAGCTGAGTGGGCTTCACCTGGTAAATTAAAAAAAGGTTTTTTTAGTGATTTGATTACCTTTCCTATACTTTGCAACTCCTATCGTGAGTTTGTATTGTTTCTTGTTGTGACGTTCTTACCCCGTGCCCCGACTGGGTATCTGTGAAAAAGAGCTTCATAGCTCATCGGATTCCTCCTGCAGTCTAAATAAAGAATCTGATTCAAGAAAGAGCCACATTCACTTGTATCAAAAATTTATGCACTTTAAAACAAAACAAAAAAATTATGTACAATTCTTTTTTTTTTTTTAAACCTTCTATATGAAAAAGTGCGTTCATACACGCTGATCAATGTAGAAATAGCACACGTCCTTTGATTAATGAAGATTCGAAAAATGCAATCAATTATATTTTCAATTAAGCAAATTGATTACATATGATCGATTCCCAATGAGTGCTGTACGTAAACACCGTTAACTAGAACAACAGTATCCCCACACTCATCAGCCGCCCTAAGAAGTGGAAACAGAGGGTGAAAAAAAACTGCAACAAAAAACACCAAGGTGAGCAGACATCGCTCGTGGCGCAGGACTCACCAGTCGTCCACAGCGAGCTCCAGCAGAGACTGGGTCCTCTCAGCGGCACAGTACAAACACCAGAGCGATGACATTTCTCGAGCAGCGCCGCCTCCTCCAGCCGTGGAGGAGAGGGCTCAAGCACGCGCCGGCGGGCGGCGTCCAGTCGCCGGCTAAGGGAGCGCAATGGGCGACCTTCCGCCAGCGTGGAGGGAGGTCTCAGAAAAGAAAAGGACGGACGAAGAGGCGAGAGGCCATCCAACGGGAGAAAAAAAAGAAGGGCAGCGATCGATGGAAACCCAAAAAAAAATCGCAGGGCGCGCACGCACGGTCACGCCGGGCATTGAGAACGATTGTGCGGAGCGAACGAGGCCATGGCCCCTTAAAAGCGGCTCGCAGAGAGAGAAAAAAGAGAGACGAGACAGCTGATGTAAACTTCACAGGGCACGCACACGGGCGGGACAGGAGCGTTGTGAGCGAGCCGGACGCGCGTCGGCGAAAGTAAACCGCGTTTATTCTTAGCCGGTGACTTTGCGGAACATGTGACGGTCCGAGAATGCAGCCTTTTTCCTTTCCATTCCTTTCTTTCCTCTTGAAACTCTGTCTCCTTTGCCCATTGCCAAATTCGCTGGAAGGAGTGTGCGGCTGGCTTGGTGGCTCGCGCATTCCAAAAGCGATGTGTGAGCTAAAAGGAAAAGGGGCCTCAGAGGGAGGCTCCCAAGGTAAAAAAAAATATCGCAGCCTTGCCTCAAATTGTTCAACCTTCATATTGAATGTACGAACTATCTTCAGAACTTCTAAGCAAACTAAGTGAGTAGAACATTGAAACAAGACTGGCGGCCGTGTGGAGGCAAATCGGAGAGCTACGTGGCGGTCTAAGTTTCAGTTGAAAGCATTGACTGAGAAGACATCACACATGTTATCCTGTTTATTAACTACATTTATTATAAACTCTTGAAATTTTAGTTGTTCACTATTAACCTTCCATGTTATGTTTTTGAAGTAAATACCACACGTTTGAAAACCATACCCCCCCCTACTATGAAGCACCTCATATATGGAATAATATTGCAACCCTTTCAAGTACTGTACTGTCATTTCTCAATTATATTTTAATGGGAATTGGACTATGTTTGCCTCAGAAATTACGGATTTTCGTGCTCTGAACAAAACCTTAAACATACTTTTATAATCTTGATTTGAAGCTTTCGTGACTGCAGGAATCCATACTACTTTTATCAGTACATTTACTGATAACTACATGTATATGCTCGCCTTTGATTGGTGTTGTACCTTAAGGTTTGTGAATCATCGCATGCTTTGCACACTGCTGTTATTCACTTAGCTGTGGGTGTTTCCCACACGGTGAGAGGGCCTGTGCAGTTTCAAAAGGAAAAACTCAACCAAGAATATTACAAATAAAAACTCAACCAAGAATATTACAAATAAAAACACGACCAAGAGCCTTCGTCTTGCTCGCACTGAAACCTGTTTTTTTTTTCCCCCAGGTCTCCCATTGGACATTATTCTCAATCAGCTACCATCAGGCTACAAGTAAGGTAAAATTTAAAAAATGTTGACATTTAGAAGTAAAGATCTATAATAGCGGTTTTGTTTTGGGTTAGATTTCGTAAATATAAATTTTGTGAAAAATATAAATGTCGTTAAACCGGCCACCACCTGAAACACAGCCAATTAGTAAGGCTTGTCCATGTAAACAAATCATGCCAATGAATTACTAGATCGGCACATCGGTGTGTTGGAGAGTAAACCGACGACATTTACCATTTGAGTACTGTGGAGTTTCGCCGGTAATTACAACCAGCCTCATCAGGTGACAGCCAGAATTGTGAGAAATCCTCCTCCTGCTTCGGCCTTAAATAGAGGGGGGGGGGGGGGTAAATGTGATGTAATTGTGGGTTAATCAAGTGCGAAGACTCAGGTGGGGGGGTGGTTTATGTAGTCATATAAATTACAATGGATGTCTATTGTTGGTTGGGTGATTCACAGCTAATCAACATGTATAATGTATCTACGTTATGTACATCATGGATGTACATGACCAATGTTTTAAGATGATTACTTTAGAAAACTTTACATAACGAGTCCCGAATAATAGGGTTGCTTGTACAAAAATAATGTAACTTTCACCCCTTCAAATCAACGTAGAGAAGTTCATGCAAAAGTGATGCATGGTTGCAACGGAGTGAGTCACACAGCCCCAGAAGCGTGAGTGTAGCGAGTGACCTCTTGATCACAGGAGTCTCTGTGTAAAAAAAAAAATGCCTTTTGGAAGTGAAGAACTGCAACCAAAGCCCTTTCAAGGGGTACCCGGTGGGACTCGAGAGAGATTTGAAAGGCAAAAGACAGCTGGATGCAACAGTTGCATTCAGTTGCGCATGTGAGTTGAGGTATGGCTTTTGCGATGAGGACAAACCGAGATGGCATACCCCGTGCTCAGTTCCAACAGTGCCGTAATGCGGGAACGACTTCTCACAAGAATCGGACGTTTAAAAAATAAACAGCTCCGCTCAAGAGATTTCGGTCAGATCAGCAGAGGCAGCTGTAAACGAAGGTCACAGCCTCTCGTGGACATCTGTGAGAAAAAAAAGAGCTTTGGAGCTCAACGGATTCCTCCAGTATTAATCAATATTCTGAAGGTCTCAACTGCCAATTTGAGGATGACTCATTATTCTTGTCCTAATGAAGCCTTGCCAAGTCACGGTACATTGTTTTTTTTACTTGGGAAATCTAAATGTCTGCAACGAAGTAACTTCAAAACATCCGCTGGCAGCATGTGTAGGGATTGCACTGCGAGAGAATCGGTGTGATCTTCTTGTTGTGACTTTGTGAGTTAAGCCGGGATCTGGAGAGTATAGCCCGACTGGATATAAGAAGTGCTTAATTCTAGACCAATATCATCAAGCAGCATTTGTTAAAGGAAGCAAACACAGAACTGGTTTCAACCTTTTTGGTTTCAACAGCAGATTCAGGCTTCAATTTTGATTTAAAGCTTTCGTGACTGCAGGGATTCATATTCTTGGTTCTTTCGGTAAAGTCACGTAGAAGCAATCATGGAAATCCACAGTGGATTTCACACCTGATGATGATTGCTTGTGGTGCAGTCGAAACGTCGTGAAAATTTTTTTTGTTTTATATTTATATTATTTTAATATTTCCCTTCTACGTGACTTTACCGAAAGAACCAAGCAGATTCAGGCGTGTTAAACAAATGCTGCCGGATTGCCATATGTTATTGGTAAGAGCACTCCATGTAAAAAAACGGGTCCCTGTTCATCACAAAAAAGCAATACCGTACACAAAACTTATTGTAGACATAGTTGGACTGAGAGAAAGTGAAGGGCTCAGAGTCATTGTTTTTCAAACCAACACTGGGTCCATAGTGCCAAAGGGATAAGGGTTGGGATATTGTTGTGAAGTCAACAGTGCTTGCAGACTACAATTGCTCACTTCAGCTTGAAACTCAGGGATGGGCACATAGCCTGTGTGCATATTTCTGTTGACTATTAAAACATTCCGCCAAAGACGACATACCGAAACCCAAATATAAATGCAGATGAAATGTTCGGGCACATGCTGCACATTTTTAAAAATCAATTAAATAAGTCAACACCTTTGGCACCAAGTAAGAACGCATTATGCATCTGGTGGACCTCTCAAAGCCCTTCTCGGCTGTGCGCTGGTTTTTCAGCTAACTTTAGCTTTTTCATTGAACACGATAAACATCTTTTTTTTATGTTAGTATCAAAGCAATGCAACTGGAATATGCAATGTTTCATTAGTTCAATGGAAATATTACATTCCAATGAGGATTTAGTTAAGTTAAGTGTCAGGTTGGTCCACGGGTATGATTTAATGAGTGGTTACTATCATGCATTTTGTACGGATCTATCTCTTTGTTGTTTAACAATATCATGGCATATGTAGTAACAGTATAGCTAAGAGGGGGAAGTGGTGGCACACGAGTTTGCGCAGTGCGCAATGAACTCGGCCACCTGAGTTAAATTCCTGCCCGTGTCTAACATCAGTGGCGATTGAGATCTGAACTGGTCCTCAGTTCCCTCTTCACCAATCTGCACTGACCAACCTGGTGAAGTATGGTCAACAACAAAAAAACTTTGACCACCACTGCGTGGGGAGCTCTTCATTTCAGTTGTGAATTACCAAAGCAGTTAAAATGACATCATTATTGAGTACACCTATTAAAATCACACTGCCCGTATAAGTGTGGCACTGCATTATTTCTACAAATATATCACAGTTTCCAGCAACTATCAAAACTTTCCGTGATTACCATTTGCTGTTTATCGGTTGAACGTTCTGTATTCTATTGAGCAAATAGATCTTAACGAAAGAGAGCTCCAGAAACAACGGCGAGCTTTGGTACTTTACCCGAAGAGTAGTTTTCTCAGGAAGATGTGGAAGAGACGACATCCACACTGGATGCCGCTCAAGAGGTTTAGCACTCTGACCATACGCAGAGGCATCTCGGCAGCATCGTGGGCATACTTGTGATTTCTTGACAGCTATACTCCCCACAAAAGAACATCGGACGAAAGGAAACCGCTCGACCATTCAGGACCGAGCGCTAAATGCCGCTCACATCCAGTGGCAACTCTGTGCTGAACAAGTCTGCATTAAGGGAGTGGGAACGTGGGGTCAGGTGACGAGGCAGGGCCAATGATTAACCCTTTGCAGTATCTCCAGTGCGGAAAAAGTGGCCTCGTCGGCTGCAAGAGGCGGCCCACCCTCTCGCGTGCAGCGTCAATTTTCGACGATCTGCGCAGCTGTCTGTGATTTACCGGAGTTTACATTGCATAGCGCTCGTTGAAAGGGCATTTTGAGTGCTGAATTGGAGACCAAAAATGTACACGGGCTGGGTTCAAATGGGCGAGTGTCTGGCTTCTAGGGCGTTTGGGCATTTTTCACACAGGCAGCAGTTGTGTGTTTGCGTGCAGTTAATGGTTAAGAAGCTGCTATTGGCTTCTCCCTTGATGCCTGTGCTATCCAGGGTAACGCCCTAGTGCTGCAGTGGAGCTCGCCATAGCGCTGATGTAATGCGATATTTAAATTTGCTGCACTTCCCACCTTCGTGCAGCTGCACAACATAGACAAGGCATCGCGTATGAAGATGGGAATGAATTCAACTATAGAGCTCTTTTGGGCAGATTGATGGAGCTTTTCTTTAGCAGAGGCATTTGTTTAACATGTTTTTTTTTATAACCATGAATGCAAAGGCAGCCCAATCATGGTGCATAATTGGTGAATATCAGCCCTTCCATTAAAATTGAAGTTAATAAAAAGGGCTATAATTTACCGTGTTTACAGAGCCACATAATTTTACATTGCTGATAGTAAACTGGCTGTTTAACAATTTTCAAGTGAGAATTCCACCTGGAATTTTAATGTGTTGTTGACATTAAACAATTTTGCTCGTGCTGGGCAAGAAACCCTAATTCTTAGCTATGTGTTGGTACAAGTGGAATAGCTGCGTCCACTGATACATCCACTTATGTAGATTTACAACGGTAGACTTTGAAAACACCACTTTAAAACTGTTCTGCAATTTGAGCGATCATTTTTGCGCCAGTGATAATATTTATTGTACCAAAAAAATCTGGAACCCTCTCAGACAAAAAGAAGCTATGCAGGACTTAAAAAACATCTCTGTTTATTGACATTTTCTCAAAATAGCTGAGTCATGCAGCAGATCTTTCAGCTTGCAGATTTTTTTTGACAGCGAGTTGGCGAGTTTACTTATTTGCTTGTTTGCACGTAAACCGTCGAGAGAACATTAACTATGTTTCCAGGTTATATGTACGGCACGCTAACCACTGTGTCAAAAAATAGCTGGAACGGAGCGTCATTGATCACTACATCATGATTCATGCCTTAACCTCTAGGTTAATGGCATTTTCCATGCCAGTGTAATTCTTTAAATAAAATCGATACATTTAAAATGAGCGTGTAAAACTGTGGGGGATGAAAATAACCAGTTACACGGTAGGGTGGAGGGGCGGTGTTTGGTTCAATTTATAGTGCCACTTTTAGCCCAATTCCATTTGTAGGATTTGTGCCGAAATTTAAGACTTACTGAGAAATCCCAAATCCCACACAGTAGCCAGTCCAACAATAATACAACGCTTGACGTACTATTTTCCAAACATTTTGAGAGCAGGCTAAACTTTAAAACATTTGGTTTCGTGAAAATGACTTGTATTTTCCATTTGTCAGGCTTAACTCCTCTTACAGCCATGAGTATATGCTGGCATTTAAAAAAAATTGTTATTAAACTTAAAATTTAATTATCAAGATTTAATTTCCAACTAAGAAAGAAATCCATAATAGATAAATGCATAACTATAACTCAAATTAATTCCATATGAAACAAAAAATCACCAAAATGTCAACTGTCAATCTACTGCCAGGCATTCGATGCAGATCGTGAGGATTATTTGACCATGCTGGTCAGCACAGGTCAGTGAAGTCGGGCAGCAGAGAAGTGGGGAGATTAGATGTTCAGTCCAACAATGTAGCTTGCTGCACTACTCTCTGCTGCACACCACGTAGCGCACAGTGGCCACCCATGCAAGCACTTACCGAAGCTCAACCCTGCAAAGTTCTAACGAGAATTAGTCACTTTCCACGTGGTTTTGTCATAGGCACACATAATATAAATATAAAAAAAAACTTACCACTGTATCTTCAAAGCTCTCTGTTATTGAATGATAATTCGGAAAGGGCCA